ATATTTTCTTTTTTCTTTTTTTAAGCCAGGGATTGGCAGCAGCACCACTGAGCTAAATCCCTGGCCTAGAATATTATCTACTTTGAATACTTGCCCCCTTAAACTTTACACCAAGGCAACAGACTTAACTCGTCTTTACCTAAGTCACAGCTATGATTTGAAGAACTGATCATAGCATATCCTTAGGTCTTTGAAGTTTGTTCTTTTACTGGTGATATTTGCATTTTAAATCTGGGCCAAGCATTATTTTTCTTGGTGTATTTGTTGAGCTGTCTTTAAATCTTGGTCAATAATACTAATGAACAATAGTCATGAGATAGAAAAGAAAGGAGGGCTGGCGTTTCCCATTTCCCTCTGACAGAATAGGGCAGCCTCCTCCCCCTTGAACCCCTCTTGTCTGCTCAGGAATCACTTGGGTTCTAGCCCCAGGTCTTCCCAGCACCTGTTGGGTACTTAAAAGGTCACATCCCAAGATGCAATGACTGTAGCTAAAACTTGGCTAACAGCAGAGAAGACGCTCTCTGGCTCCTGCCACCCCAGGTACTGCTGCTGTCTCTCTCAAGGAGTAGCAGAAGGCTAACAGAGCAAAGACTGGGGAGGGACTGGAGCTCATGTTAATATCCCTTAAATCCCTAAATTCCAATAGTTTCTGATTGACACAGCCAAGTTTCCTAAAGACTTTTCAAATGCATTAAGCACTCATTTTCACAGAGGAACCCCCAGCCGCTTCAGGACCTGCCTGTCTTAGCTTCAGGAGGCTTTTGAAACTCAGATTCCAGATGATTCTGTCCAGATGACTCTATCCCCTCTGGCATTACTTTGAAATTTCTCAAGTGGGTCCAGAAAGTGTACAAAAGTAGATGTGCAGGCTGTTGGTGCTCTATATAAGCAGTACTCCCTAAGGCATGGTTCTCCTGGAATCCGGACCCTGCTGTGTTGTGAGTCCAGATAAAGCCCTACTTGCTCAGGTGATGCTGTGGCTTGGTTTGGTTCATGTTGCCTTGTGAACAAATATTTCCTTGTTTTGTTCAAAGGGTACCTAAAATCTGTCAGAATTGGTGTTGAGTAATTGGTGCCCTATGTAAGCTAGGTGTATGCGTTCTGGGAATTAGCTTTGAAATTCTGAAACTTCAGCGTCTGTGCCTTTTTCATTGAGAGACATCTTCTGTCTCTCAGTTAAGAACTTGCAGCCTTTCAAAAGGTTCTCCCCTAATGTGCCTATTTGCTAAGTGGAATGTGATCAGCCTCATAGTTATGCCTTCTGGGGAACTGACCTTCTGGGAGAATTGAAATAAATTGCTGTAAGAAGAAATTCCCAGAGGATTTGAAACTAACCAGGAATTGAATCTTGGGACCTGTTGGTTTGTTGGCTTTGAAGGGCATTTTTCTTTGCCTATTGGAAATAGATTTTCTGTTGGCCCTGGGTCTGAACTCCTCACATTTCTTTGTGTTTAACTCTTGCTGCTCTCTACTCTGTGTTGGTACAACTGTTGCGTCTATGCCGATGATTTGTATCTGTAGCTTTTCGGATTATTTCTTGTCTGGGAAAATATTGATCCTATGGTTTATTTGGGGAGCTATTCTTTGGATTCAGTCTTTTATTGTCATTCCTAAAGGCATTGAAGGGAAAGTCTTTTCTCTTTGTATTTGATTACTATAGTTCTCTTATCACAGACAGTGGCCAAAGAGAGGTAGCAAGCTTAGCAAGTCTAGGGTCTCTTTTAATGTTCAACTTTGCAACCCTCCTTTCTGATAAAAGTCCTACCACCATAATCTGGCCATTCCAATGGACTCATTGTTAGGATACCTTTTAGCTAAGTGGGGACAAGTTTAAGAAAAAATGTTTAAAGAAAGCGTGGTAATTCTCTTTTGTAATATAATCTGGCTTCATTTTAAACTGTGGGATCAAGAACAATAGTCAGAAATGGGTCTCTGAATTATAACACCATTCTCCAGGTAGATTTATTCTTAAAAGGGGAAAAAGTGGTGAGAAATCCCCTAGTTAGCTCTCATGAAGCTATACCAAGTCCCTAGATTTGGGAACTCCCGTTAGGTTTGTGCGGCTGTGGTCTCTAAATCCCCTAAGGCCACAGAACCTGCCTCCAACTGGCACCCCACTGGTGGGTATACACACTTCCTCTACAGCACTCCATGCGTGGCCCTTCGGTTTCCTCGGTGATCGGAGTGCTCCTCCCTCATCACCTCTTCCTCACTCTTTGCCTCTAGCCCTTTGGTAGTCACCTGTCCTGCCAGTCTCATCTCCAATTGGATCAAGACCAGGCAGCGAACACCCCACCTTGCTCAGGAGATTCTGCTCCCATTTCAGGAGGTGTCACGCAGGGATGATGAAATTATCAAAGTACACGTTCCTTTTTCAGTGACAGACGCAGCTCAGTGTAAAGGAAGATCTGATCGTTTTTCAGAGAATCCTGATAGATTCAAAGATGCATTCGTTAATCTCGTGCTGTACCTGGGCGGGTTGGGGACCAGCAGTGTTTCCCAGATTCTTATTGTCCTATTCAGTGAATTGGTCAGGACAAGCGGTAGATGTGAAAGGTTACTGTTTATTTTAGGGCAGAAACAAAAAAAAAAAAAAAAAAAAAAAAAAAAAAAAAAGGTGTGTGTGTGTGTGTGGGAGAAAGAATTGCAGAAGAAGCTCTCAAGGAGAAAAGGGTGCTTTGAAGGGAAAAGAGACAATACATCCTGTGAGCAGAAGGAACCACTGGAAGAACAAGAGGGCAGTGGCATGAGGTCAGTTACTGCTGTCCTTTTATAGCCTGTTTGATAGTTGATCCAGGTGATCCCACTCGATTGCATGCTAGAAGATTGGACTCAGTTGCTAGGCTTGGCTTGTTCTCAGGTCAGAAGACTGATGTCGGGGCCGGGTTCAGCTCGCTGTCATGTTAGAAGATTGGTACTGGTGCAAGGCTCAGCTTGACCTCTTGTCGTGCTCAGGAGCTGCTGTTCCACATCTGTACTTAACAAGTCTTTTCAGTTGACCGCTTGTGCCCAACTGCTCCAGCTGTGCTGCCACGCCCTGGTCTGCTACCGCAAGCCTCTTTTGTCCTTAAATGGAGGGATGTGATTGTAGCATTAACTCACTGTTGCACTCCTGATCAGAAGTAGCTTATTCTGAAGCAATCGATGGACTGTGAGCTAATTCTCTGGATCATAGCATCCAGAAACCCAGGGAGGACACAGTGCACTCAACAGACCCCCGAAACCCTAAAAACTCTGTTCATAGGGCAGGGGTGGAGCAACTTGTAACTTGTATCCCAGAAGGGATGAAGAGAAGTCTAGGTAAGTCTGTCAACCATGACAGGGTCAAAGAGGTAATAAAGGAGAGGGAGAATTCCATGGTGTTTTATAAAACCACTTGTCAGAAGCCTTTCAGAAGTATACTAATACCAATCTACACTTGGTAGACAGAAGCATCCCAAATGCTATACATTGTATGGTGCAAGCTATAAGGAATCACTTCTGATTGTTTCAAAGCCTGGGGCGCCTGAGGACCCTTACGGACTAGACCCCATCTAGTACATGTGCACAACAGGACTCACTTTATGTAAGCATGACTTGGCACATCACAGATGCCTTTCCCTGTTTTAGAAGGACATGATGATGTAAGGCTGTGTAGTGGCCTATATAAAGGTCAGGGAATAAAGGCATTTGCTCTTAGTTTTGCTGCAGATGTTGGCTCCACATGCTTTCTTTACCCTGGGGACCTCATCTGTGAAAACATCTTTTCCACCCCCGACCCTGACATAGGCTGCCCCAGATATTAGGAGAAAATTTCCAAGGCTTGAGATAGGACCTCAGATCTCACTGTTGACATTGGTAGAGGAAGCCTGCAGGATCTATAATAACAGAGATGAGCAGAAGAGGCTCACAGGATAAGATATTGGAGAAAAGGTGAAATCTTTGGCTGCATGAATTCCACTGCAACCACAGGGTAACTCACAAATTTACTCCACTAGAATAAAAAGGGTGGAGTAGAAAGCAGTGTATCTATTATTCAAAGGAAGCACATTCCAGTGAACTTGGGGAGGGCCAGTTGAGAAATGGCTCATTTTGGGCTGAGATTGGACAGGCTTTTCTGGGAAGGAGAGTCAACATTTAGACTGAGGAGGCCCAAAGACCCTGCGGGCTCCACTGCAACGGAAGAAGTCAGGCATCATCATACCAGTGCAGCCTTGGGTAACCATTTGTGTGGCAGACAAGAATATCAATTTACTTTGGGAGACTGTTGCAAAAACTTCGTCTGGGACTGTCTTGTGCTTTTGGCTTGTGTAGTACGGGTCACCAGGTTCTGTGTTCCTTACTTTGGGCTCCCTTGCTTGAGCTCTGGCAGGCATATTAGTTGGAATGGTATGTGGACATGGAGCATCTCACTGCAAGAAGCAAAGAGAACATCCCAGCTTTCTATGAATAGTGCCAAATTGCACCTGGGTGTGGCAGTACACACCTGTAATCCCATTACTTTGAGAGGCTAAGGCAGGAGGATCTCAAGTTTGAGTCCAGCCTGGGTAATTCAGTAACCTACTGAGACCTGTTAAAGAAAAACAAAACAAAACAAAGTGGGCCAGGAATGTCATCAGTGCAATGTCCCGTTCAACCTCCAGTACCAAAACGAACAGAACCAAATAACAGCTGCTTAGTTAGAACATACCCGATTCAATTTAAGGGAGCCATTGGCTCAAAGGCAAAACCAGAAATAAAGCAGAAAGAGGGAAATGACCCAGGGCTGGCCATTTTGTACAGTAGTGAGACTGACTACTAGAACACCAGTTGTCAATACAGTCGCTCTCATCGTCATCAGAACAGTGATAGAGGTGACTGTTTTACAGCAAATACCACTAGAAAATAGAGTAATACACATTCTAGATTTCCTGGCCCAGCGCAGATGTCAAGTGTCCCAGAAGGCCCAAATTTCCTTCCAAGAGGTTAAACATCTGCACACGAGAACACTTGACCCTGAAGCGAAGAGGGTAACTCAAGGCACCGCAAGGCCTTTCTGGGTATGGCTGGCTTCTGCCACATCTAGATACCCGGATTTTGCCTAGCAGCCGGGTATCTGTATAAGGCTTTGAAGAGGGAAAAGACAGGTTGATTAGAATGGGACAACAATTATCAGCAGGCTTTCAAGACTTTAAAAACCAACCTTGCCTAGACTTCTGTCCTGGATTTGCCTGACATAGAGGAGCTTTTCATCCTATATGTCTCAGAGTGTCTCTGGCCAGTAGCCTATTCTGCGACTGTTTAGACATGACACTGGCACGGCCTGGGTGCCTCAGAGCAGTGGCTGCAGAAGCTTTGCAAGAAGTCAAGCTTATAAAAGGAAATTCGTATGCATGGTGAAGTTGGCTGTAAATTGTATCTAAAAGGAGAGCCCAAGCAGTGGAGCAAAGAGAGTCATTTGCATGATAATTGAAGAAACTGAAGCACAGGTGGCCTCCCTAGTACTCTGATCAGGAGAAAAGAGAGGCTTAGACTAAGGTTATCTCAAGACCCACTTGGAATAGTCCCACAACCCTGTTTGTCAGGTGTTCTATCATTTTATTCCTAAATTTCAACTTTTGACAAAATGAGAGAGGTCACCCGTCCTTGCAGTCATCAACTAAATGTTATGGCTTGTATTAGACATTCCCAAAGCCTCCCGTGCTCATAGGTGGGGCTTTTGGGAGGTGGCTGAATCATGGGTGTGATACTGGATTAATCCACTCATTGGTTTAGCCTAGTGCTGGGTGTGGCTGAATGGATTTATGGAAGATAGGAGTGCCACCCCAGGTATGGGCGGTACCAACAAATAGGCTTGTTATCTCAGGATGAGGCCAGATGTCCCATTCTATAGTCAAGGCCTCCTCCGGTGTCTGTTAATTTTGAACTAAACAAAGCAGATTACAGTTAGACAAAGCAGAAGGCATTCTACACTTTCCCAATATTTTATAGGTTTTTAGGCTATTTACAAAAGTTCTGTCTATCATTCCAGCTAGATCTAAACTCTAGTAAGACACAGGCCAGCTGTCTTAGTCCCCCAAGTCCCCAGGTGCGCAGGATGTAGCAGGTGTTCCTAGTAGCGCTCAAGTGAGGACGTGTGTGTGGCCAGCGGAGAGCACAGCCCAGGGAGAGATGCACACATGTGTGTAAATGATAAGCAGCCAGTGCTGGGCCAGAGCAGAGATGTGTGTGTCCTCAGGGAATCCAGGAGGAGGCCGAGGTCTGGGGAAGGCTTCCCTGAGCAGGTGACATGTGGGCTGGAAACAGATAGGCAAAGCAAGGAGACTTCACATTGTCGGTGTGTTTGAGGGACAGCCAGGTTAGAACGTGAGGCTGGTGTGGGCAGTAGGGGGTGAGGTCGGAGGTGAGACAGGGCCTTCCAGGCCTGTAAGAAGTTTAGGTTTCACTTTAAATGCAAGTAAAACTCACTAAAAGATTCTAAGCCTGCACTGTCCGAAAGAACTTCCCGCCACAATGGACATGTTCTAGAATCCGCAAGAACCACCCAGCAGTCATTAGCTTCCCTGTGTGGGGAGAGGAGTTTGGGGTTTTTCCCCCCTTTTTGGTACTGGGGTTTAAGCCCAGGGTTTTCACACTGAGCTGTACCCTCACCCTTTTAAATTTAATTATATTTTAGTTTGAGATAGATTCTTGCTAAATCACTGAGTTGCCCGGGCGGGGTTCACACTTGCAATCCTCTTGCCTTGGCCTCCCAGAGTGCTGGGATTAAGCCACGTGCTAACTCTTCTGGCCTCAGCTTTCTTTAATTAGCATTAGCATGGTATACTTTGTTCTACCATTTTACTTTTAGTTAATTTGTATCTTTATATTTAAAGCGTTTTTTTTTTTCGTAGCTAGCATGAAGTGGGGTATTGCTTTACAAAATAATCAGATAAGGTCTGTTTTTCAATTAGCATGTTTTAGACTATTAGATTTATTATGAATATTAATATGATTTGTGTAAATATATGCTCATACTATTTATTTCTGTCTGTACCTTATGCTGTTTTCCTTCCTTGTTTTGCATTAATTGGTATGTGTGGGTGATGCTTTACCTCCTTTCTTAGCCTGCTAGCTATAGCTGTGTTATTTTCCATAGTTGCTTTAGGGTTTATGGTATACATTTTTACCTTAGTCCAATTTACCTTCAGGTGATGTTTCACTTACATATTAGTAGAACTTTATGATGGTATCATTGCATTTCTCTCCTCTTAGCCTTTGTAATACTGTGGTCACACATTTTACTTAACTTTTGTTATGATTAAATTTTAGTGAGAAAATGTTGTCCTTTGAAGGGATTTACATAATGAAGAATAAGTCCTTATATTTACCCACACAGACACCCTCATTATTCCTTATGGATCCAGGTTGCCATCCGAGGTAATTTTCTTCCTGCTTGAATGACTTCCATTATGTTCTGTTGTAGTGAAAGTCTGGTGACGCAGTTTTTGGTGTTATTGTATAGCTGAAAAATCTTTACTTAGCCTTCTTTTCTGATAGTTTTGCCAAGTGAAGAATTCTGGGATGAACCCTTTTTTTAAAGTCTAACACTTAAAAGATGTTGCTCCGTTGTCTAGCTTGCGTTGTTTCTATTGTTTATATGTTGTCTTTGCTTATATGTAGATGAATTTTTTTTTTCTGGCCATTTCCAAATTTTTTCTTAAGTTTTAAGACATTTTTGATGATTATGATTTGCCTTCCTATATGCTTTTCATGTTTCTATGGTTATGGCATCTTGTCTGTCTTGGATCTGTGGTGTACAGTATTCATCAAATTAAAATTTTCTGCCAGTAATTTCTTCAGTTTTTTTCTTCCTGTCTTCCAGGGTCTCCATGTGTGTGTGTGTATCTCGCCTCTTTGAAGGTATCCCACACGAAGCTCTAGTTTTTTATTCATTTTTTTCCCCAGTCTTTTAATTTTCTCTTGATTTTGGATATCTTTCAGCACGAGTAGACCAAGAATGGGCCCGCCCAGAGGTGGGGCTTTGGGAAGGCCATTGAGTCAGGGAGGCGTTGTATGCACCCACGGATTAAAGGTGCCGTTAGGAGGCGGGGTCTGATTGGAAGAGGCCGGCCAATGGGGGCGTGGCCTGGAAGGGTGGATCTCTCTTCCTGGCTGTGGTATTCTCCTTCTGCTGCTGGCTGCCATGGCGTGAAGAGCTTTCCTCTGCCAAACTCTTCTGCCATGCCCTTCCCGCCTTCCTGGAACCAGCGGACTGTGGACTGAAGCCTCTGAAAAGTGTGAACCCAAATAAACCTTCTCTCCTCCTTGGAGGTGTGGATGTTTGGTATTTGTCCTAGTGACTGAGACACCGTATCTTCAAGTTCACTAATGTTTTCTTCTGCCATTGATAACCTACATCAAGCATACACACACACACACACACGCACACATACAGGCATTGTAGTTCTTGATGTTCGTTTTTATTTTTAAAAAGACCTTCTGTGCATTTACCAAACATGTCCCAAGTTTCCTCTAGCGTCTTGTACATATGAACTCAGAATGGCATTAGAACAACTGCTTCATTATCCTTGGCATTCATTTTTTAAAATCTACGTCAATTCTGACTCTGTTTTGATTGGTTGATAGTCTCCTTATTATGGATCATATTTTCACACTTGTTCGCATGCCTGATCATTGGTATTTAAATGCCAAACACTGTGAATTTTATCTTGCTGAGGGCTAGGTGTTTTTGTTTCCCTACAGATTATTCTTGAGTTTCGCTCTGATACATGGTTCAGTTATTTGGGAGCAATTTAATCTAGTCCAGATTGTTAAAATGTATTTATTTTTACTTGAGACTATGGGCTTTAAGTCTAAGTCTAGGGTTAATTTTCTCCAGTACTCCCACAGACTCTTCTGAGCGCTCTAACCAATGGCCCATGAGTGATGAGGTTTTCATGTTTAATGAGATTGGGCATTATTCTCAGCCCTGAATTTTCCTCTGGGGATTGTTCCCTTAAATCTCTTTGGGTGTTTTCTCCTTGGCATCAGGTAGTTACTTTCTGTGCATATATGATCACTAATCAGAATACTTGAATCAGATTTGCAGTTTTCTTTCTTTCTTTTTTTTTCTGTTCAGCTCCTCCTCCAGCTGCCTGGGATCCTGAACAACCCAGGGAGGCCACTGGGCTCTTCATTATCCACTCCCTAAGCCCCAGCCTGAAAATGTCCCTTGCAGTGATCTGGGGCAATTGTAGGGCTCCCTTTTTCCTGTACTCCATGGGCCACCGTCTCTCATTGCCTGATTTTCAATGACTTAAAGAGATATTTTCGTATCTTTTTATTGTTTTTAAAAATTGTTCCAGGCAGAAGTGTTAATCTGGCTAGAATTTCTAGTTGCCTTTAAAAAAATATCTTGAGACGATGATACAATTAATTTCAGGTTCACTAGTAGGGCTAGTCTGT